CTTTAAGCTTCTGCACATTCGCAGGTTTTAGCCCTTACGCGGTGCCACCTTTTTTAGATTCTCCTGGCAGATAGCCTCTCAAGTGGACTAGCCAGCCTCTTCAACGACACCCTCACAGAGTACCCCAGTCAATTTGGATGCCTTAATAACTCCGCCGGTGAACATGGATATCTGCCCGATTTGGTTGTATGCTCCTCCTCCTCCTCCTCATCAGGGTCGAGCAAAGCCTTTCCGGGCATAAATGTCCTTGAACGCTTCAATGTCTACCCGGAACTTCTGCTGGCCGCACTCTACCGCTTGGCTAACCAGTGGCGCCTCCTTTCCTCCCAGTGCTTTGAAGTTTCTCTGGGCAGCGTATGTGTACTTCTGTAATGCAGCTACCTACACCCAACCTTCCTTTGCCATCCTTAAATTTCCCCATCTTGAATTCTCTCTCTCCGTGTTTGTGTAGGTTGACCAGGTGCACGCGCTTGCTGTCCCTCCAGAGGACTTTAACCCCACCCGTCAAAATCGGTTTCAGACGAATGCTAGCCTGATCGAGATCGGGACTGGTTCTGGTGCTTCAGTCCTCAGTTGTGATGGCCTACGGGAGCCGCCAACCTTCTACGTTAATGTGGTCTACTTTCTGGCCGGTTTCACTACCCTCGGTCTATCTCTGTCTGGCTGGCTTGTAGCCAACTGCGGTTTGTCCAATCCTAGCCTCTCGCACGCAATGATCTCGATTTGGGGCGCAATTCTACCGGTGTGTGCATTCTTCTTTAATCACAAGGAAGCCACTCGAGTGCAGTGGACACCGCCACTGCGCGAGTCCTTTTCATATCCCTTCTTTGTCCTGCAGCAAACGGCTCTCCTCTGGCTATTGAAGGTATTTTCTTTTAAATTAACATGAATCGCCTACTTGCTTCAATTGAGTAGTATGTTTTTTTATAATGGTTACTGCTGTTCGTGTTTTAGGATTCCTCACGTACTCGACCTCCTCGTCTTCTAAAATGCTTCCTCTTCATACTACTTCTTTTGGCCGTGCAACTGCCCTGGCAATTCGCCCAATTCGCTCTACTTACTCAGCTTGTATCTCTGCTGGGGGCCTATGCAATTGCCTTGTTAATTCGTGCACCCTATAGTACGTCTCTACTGCGCCTATTTTCTACATTTGTCAACCGCTTGGAGGATCTTGTCTTCTGTCAGCTCGTGGCCCTGCTGCTATGCTTCTGTGCGCAATTTGGCAACCAATTTCTCCTGCTCTCTCTATATTTCCCTCTTCTTATTGGGTCACTTGCTGGTACGTTTTTATCTGTGCTTTATATCAGGTATTTTAATTGACCTATTATTTACGTGCCGGTGCCCCATATACACATGTAAACGCACCCTGAGCCCTTTGTACTGTTAAAATAGTATTCACGAAATATAAGTAATATTGTCTTTTAGCTAAACGTCTGGAAATGTCGTGTTATCTGGGTCAGGTTCAGATCATCGAGGGGCACTTGTAATTATTGAAAGAACTCACGAAACCCTGACTACGTTTCGCAAACGTGCTTTTAGTCAGGAGCTTTAATGTGGGAAGTCAGTGTGAAACGTAATCTTGCATTAATTCGGGCACGGTCGCCGTGGGCAAATACTTTCACCCGTCAGTTCGACCGCCAAATCCGACAATGTCCAACGCGTGTTTCTTCAGCAGGCTTAGGGCAAACGCGGTGACTAACGCGTGCGAACAAGGCCTCTGCTGCGGTTACCGCACGCTCTCTTCCTCTTCCAGAAGAACCATGTTGTCTGGACGGTGTTAGTATTTTAAATCGATTTCGGACGCTTGGGATGTTTCCTTTCTGATTGTAAGCATAATCGCACGCCACATCAACTTAATCTGCATTGCATCAGATTTGAAGTCATGTTGAGTAGTAGCATTTCACAGTACAGACACTATTTTTTTAATCAGTTCCACAAATATGTTGTGTTCTTTTGGCTTACGGGTACGTTTACACTTGCCCTTTGGGGTTCTAAAACATTTTCGCTTGCTACTGTGAAGGGTCAAACGTGTGCTTGACAACATGAACCCACATCCTCTTTGATGTCCGAACCCCTCATTTGTTGTTAATTGTTTCGGGGTGATTATTGTGTACACGTGATTACAGCAAGCATCCATTTAGTGGTAACACAAGGTAGAAGCCAGATGTCCTGGGCCACCGTCCAATTGAATTTTGGCTTTCTTTTTTGACTAATGGTGCGTATTCATCCAGTCACAGTGCCCCCTCCTCCCCACTCCCAGTGCCTACATAGACGCCACTTTTTTCCTCTTTTAAGGTATAATGTGGCACCGACGTCGTCTGGACGGTGCGATCAGGACCAACTCCACACCCTGGTCTAGATCTCGGTTTGGTGAGTCTATAGTTACCATTCGTCGGTCATACTGGGAGGTTCTGAGACCTGGGTCATGGTCATAAACCTCAACGCTCTGTCTGTTGACCCGGGGTCTTACAGCCCGCTGCCCATATAGTCCGAGTATGAAGCAGCGCGTTTTGCCTTGACCCTCCAAAGGGAGCTAAATACTCTCTCTTCTCACTCACCATCCTCTTGCCTCTCGCTACATTTCTCTCACTCTTTTATCCCCCACTCTCCTCTCGGCACTCTAACAATGTCCTTATAATAAACAATCAGATTCACCATGTCGCGTGGCCTTGAAGGTTGAGAACGATACAGGTATGCATAAAAATGTAGT